CGTTTTATTGTTAACACAACTCATAAAAATCTACTATATCAAAATAATCCGAATATAATTAAACAATTACTTATGATGTTCACTTACATACGTTATTTGTCAATTATTTTTTATGGTATTCCTTTTAGATATATCACATTCACCGTGAACATGTATGGTCGAATCATTTAACGCTGATTCCTCATGGTAAAGTTGTTTCGGTGTTTCCAGTCATTTTTCTTATAACAAGAAATATAATGGAGCAGTACAGTCATTTGTTGACAACGTAAACAAATTAACACAACCAAATACCATTAAACCATAGTAATAAACTTGCGATTTAAGGTAAGCCAGTGGGGTGTCCATTGTGTGTTTGTGAAATTCTAGTCTTTACTGTAATTTTTTGTATACACTGATTTCTCCTTCAATCAATTTGCCATTATGTGTTCTGAAGACAGCCAAGAGTTATTTGGCTCAAGAATATATATATGTATAGTTTTTATGTTTATTTCATATTGAATAGAACAGTGAAATTCTAATCTATGAGGCCATTTTTATGTACTAAGTGTACATAAACTTTTGATGGATCTAACAGCGAATGAATCGAAGATTTATGAGTAGCATCATGTCTTATTACATTATGAAGGTATCCTTGAAATTAGGCAGTAATAGGGTTTACGAAAAGTTTATCTTCATAAGCACATTTAACACTATTCATTTCTCACACAATCAATATGAACATGAGTGAGGAACATGCTTTGATAGAGTATAATTTTCCAAGGGTATAAAATATATTTTACTCTAATATATTCTACTCCACACTGTTCATCTAAACCGTTTACCCACCAATTAGGAACGTCATTTTAGCCGCAAGTGAAATGCCTATTATTGGACCCACAAAAGTAACCAATCTAGTTCGGCGATGTCAGTTCTAGTTAGCTTTGTTGTCAGCCATGTCTAACTCAGATAATGAGACTGATATGAATTTCAGAGAGCTGTTCGTTGCTGTAGGAATTTAGACGGGAGCGTCACTCCTGAGACAACTGAGAACTTACAAGAATGTTACTTCTGCCACTTCACAATACGAGACAGTAATCGAAATCCAGATTATTTTTATATAAAACATGTATGTGAAAGGAAATGCCATCTCCAGCGAACAACGAGTAAAACTCAGCGGGAGTTTGTATTGAAGTAAAGTCTCTATCTATATGTTTAAAAAGCCTGTTAGTAGTGGTTACAAATTCTTTTATATTTGTTCGACTGATAGAAGGGTTTTATGCAGTAACAAGATGGTTAGTGAGTCATAATCATGAGTTACTGCGTATAGCATACGAGAAAGACCCTAGCTTCTGTCATTTCAAAGCTTAACAGAGGAATACGATTCATCTTTCATTAATTTTCTGAACTGCAGTTTTTGTTGTCGTTAGTTTTGTATATGAAAATAGTAGAAAGAAAATAATCGCCCAAGTTATTTCGGATGTGTGATCAGGTTTATTTGGAAGATTGAAACTTCCAAGTCAATCGAACCTTGTTTATCATCACTTTTTAGTATATTATTTTGAGAGGTTAGTTATGTATAACATTGAGCCTGGAGGTGCAGCAGAGACACATCGTGAAGTGAATGGTTGTCTGGAAAGCTACTTCTTTCAACGGTAAATAAACGAATCTAGGTCGTCGATTTTTCGATGTTGTAAGTACTGATGGTATTTAAAAGTGTAACAAAGAGCGCAATTCTCTAAACGAGATAGTGGTATTAAATGTCTACACATTTAATTTGTTCAATAGTTGACAAATGGGCAGTTTCGAATGTTTCCTTTTTTTATCTCATTTATCCGTCCAGTGATTCAGTTGATAATTAAGTCATATTCGAATTTATTGGCAGGATAATCTGTGAATGGCTGCACATAACTGAAAAAACGTAGTCCCGTATATACGTGAATAATATAAATAGTTAAGATTATCGCTTGTTTTAAGACGTCAAAATTTTTCTGTGAAGTAGAGTAAGACTGAGAAACACGATAGATCAAATGAACTTTTTGGACAGTAATCAATGTTTATATCTCTAATTCCTTTTAAGTGACATTACAATCTACTATCCTGTTATTTACTATCATTGCGTGGGACTTCATGAATAATTTCATCATACATATATATTATCACTTTATTAGTAAACAAAATGGTTAATATATCGGCATTCAATTTCTCCGGTAAATTCTTAGTTACAGTATTATACTTGTGCACATACTTTACATTTTGAATTTTGTTGGCATTCCACATCAAATAACTCTACTTCTCATGGAATTAACTGTTTAGCATTGAGTTGTTTTACGACTTACAGTTTTTGATGAACATTTAGATTGTTGAGCAGTTAGCTCACCAGCAGAAGTTAAGTACCATTAACCGTCATCTTAGGCTGGATGCTTAGAAAATTTATTTTTTCAAACATGATGAACTGACTAAAATAACTGTTCATGGTCCTTGACCAATAAAATGGGAAGGGTGTTATTTTAACAGTGACTATATAATTAGTCTGCATCACATAGGAAAAAGGCAGAACGCACTAATCACATGAGTGATTTCTGGGAAAATAAGGAACAGAAATTTATGAATTTTATTTCCCCTCAACTCCACCCGATAGAAAAGTTGTCAACATGCATAAAGAAACTCAAATCGCAGACCTATCATTTCACATCAAAAAATTTATATAGTATTTTACGTGTATCAAAAAGTAATTGTTCGTAACAAGGATTTAACACATCGAGAATACAGTGAGACCATCAAATGTCAAAAATGCTCAGTGAGGTTCCAATAAATGAGATATTTCTTTTGCTCCTACAAGATGGATTCTCTTCCAAATGCAGTAGGAATAACATGACGACGAAACAATTGTCACAAATAAGATTTTTTTTTTCTAAAGATAGTTTTGCTAAAATTCATATGACAAATAATCAAATTCTAAACGTCATAGAGTTATGAATTACAAGCGATTATAAAAATGTTTTTATAATGAACCCCCTGAAAAGAATTCTTTCTATAACCATACTAATCTTATGACCTGATGTTTACATTGAAATGATAAGAATCTGAATACATTTCTAAGTATAAAAATTTATTAATGACGGTATTATTAATGACGCTAATGTATGATGCTCAGTGAATAGTTAACTGCGAAGCTGATAAATATCTCACCATTGATCGGACTTAAACTCAGTGGTAAAGACTTTTCAGTTGGACCACTTGAAGCTGAAGTTTGAAGCAATGTTCACAAATTGTAGATCATAAAAAACAGTATTTTTGTGCATTTTAATAGGCTACTGGTTAGTGATAATTAGTTAACTACTGTACTGTACAAAAGAAACAGAAATCCGATCAGCACGTTTCATTCCAATGATTTCTAATTCATAGAATCAACTTGAAGATGAATCAGTGTATTCTATCTAAATCAAGAAATAAAAGTAAGTTCACTTTAAATAAACTGTCATTGTTAGGTCTGTTTCACTCCAACTTCTGTGTAATGTTTTATATTACTTATTATCATTATTCAGCAAATAGTTTTATTCCTAGCAGTTTCTACTCTTATGTGGTAACGCACGTTGGTCATATAATATTCTGAAATGTTTACACATACTTATAACATTCACTCATTAATAATGACTTAACATCAATTATTGTAGTAGTTATTCGAAATTTTGTGCAGTCGTTCAACCCCTGTTCAAAGTCAACAGTTTCCATATTGCTTGCACTTAGTTCGATTTTTGCTTGTTAATTAACCGTTATCAAGTTTAGACACAAACAACGACGTTGTAAACACTGAAAACACCTCACAAGTTGTGGTTCGTAACTAAATTTTGTCTATTATTCACTAAATAATAACTATTTGAGACAAAACGATGTTTGTGAACTTCGATTTTTCACGTATCTCAATTGAGTGACATGGACGCTTCCATATGCTTTTGAAATGTAATATAACCACATTTTATGAACTGGAACTTGTGTTACGATTTGATTATGTATTCAACGTATCAATCTAGTCGTTATGTAACACATATCAAAATGCATTTTGTTGACAACAATATATAAACATATAGATAGATTTTCATGTTCTATAGAAAATTCATGACTATTTTGTGACTACATTTACAGAAGACCACATAGCCTATTGAGAATTCAATGAATATGAAAACTTGAAAAATGTCTGCTTGTTGCAGATTTTAATTCTCGATTGTGTGTTGTCAAAGTTCTAGCTTATTCAGGACTTTACAAATACACAATCTACCTAGTCCTTACATATTTTTGACTAACGATTTATTCTCCACATAATTGTATTTTATTCAGGGCAATACTTATACTCAATAGAATTTCATCAATAAAGAGTCGATATTAACCATTCGTTAACATGAGTTATCAAAAGTCATGTCAGTGGGAGATTTGATTCACATATAACAAAGCGATTTGATGAGAGACAATAATGTAAGCTTTCTGTATGTGGCTATTTTTTTTCTGAAATCCGATTTATGCCACATAATCTAGTTATATTGATAGTCTCGATCCGTGGTTATAGAGCTACTTAATGAGTAATTTTCTGATTGTAAGATTAAGGTGATTTAGACCAAACATACAGGTATGACGTTTAACAGTGATGAAATGTTTAAGTTTTATATACTAAAATGTCTAACCCATCAGTTTTGTCGTAAGCCCTAATTTCCTAACGTGTTCCGGTCCTAAGATGTTGATTCTGAATATATTTTATTTTACTTTATCGTTCTGAAGTATTTCGTTGCATAATATCGTCAATCTTTAATTATGAGCAATGTGTTATTTTCATTCTTCACTATTTGCTTCACAGTCCTTTATTTCTGTGATAGATTTTAGGTAACCTCTATGTGCATTCTCTTCTCAATGCATCTAATTTTATTTGCCATGCAATACATACTTGTTTTCACGTATTCTCCCAACGTACAACTAGGCATAGTCGCAAAATGAAAGTAAATTTCAAACATTCCATCAAGTTGACTTTCTTTAGTTTATCCAAAATAAGTTAAAAGATGCAAAAATAACAACGAATTCACAATCAACAAAATGGATACAGATTTCAAATAAACTAATAGACGAGTATCATTATTACTGTTTGAATGTTTAACTTAATTTTGGTTTGGCATGATCGTTATTTCTATAAGTTCAATATTCGTCTTGATCAAAGTACATGGCATATACACAAATATTAAATTAGTATTATTTTCATACACTTTATAATATAATTGTTCTGGGATGAAACGAGTCTTCACTCCATGTGGATAATGAATCGACATTGGAACAAAAATTTCTGCAACTAACAATGTTGAGTTCACATTTGTACAATTCTTCTGTGTTGGTACAAAAGCATAATAAAACACACCTGAATCTACATCGAATCTCAGTTGGACAGGTTGACCGGCAGTTGATTGTGGATATGTACGACTGAACGATTTCAACTGCATGAGAGAGAAGAAATTACGAAGTGAAACAATGTACTGCAATAATGTGAAATGCATATGTAAGGTATTCAATTTGAAGACAGTGTAGATCATAACCTGATAACTTAATAACCAAAGGAAGTAAGGATGATTTAGAGAGATATACTAGGATGAAATAGTTATTCATATATTTCTAAAGGAACCATGAATAACTAATTTAATCGTACCTGACATAAATGAATAACCAAACACTGATAACTAGCAAGTTATATGATAACTAACTCCGCCTGTAGCTCTTCTAGAGTTACTGACGGTCCCAAGCCCGGGTAAAGGAGGAGGGTTGGGCATGGGGTTAGCGACAGCAACCCGTAGAAAACCTAACTCGCTAAAAATACGCTAAACAGAAAAAATAATTCAAACCATTTAAACTCTGCCCTCCGAGTTGAAGGAATAATTATGACGTCTCATGATGAAAGCCGAAATTCTTCGGAGGTTACGAGACCGATGTACCTTCTAACAACCAGAGCAAAACTCTTTATCGGTACATGGAACGTCCGTACAATGTGGGAGACAGGAAAGACCAGCCAAATAACAATGGAATTTAGGAGATACAACATGGCAGTACTCGGAATCAGCGAAACCCATTGGACACAAACTGGACAACAAAGGCTAGGTACAGGAGAGATGCTGCTGTACTCCGGTCACGAAGGGGAAAATGCACCACACACTCGGGGAGTTGCTCTAATGCTGTCCAAAGAAGCACGAAATGCACTTGTGGGATGGGAATTTCATGGACCCAGGATAATCAAAACATCATTCAGGACAATGAAGGAAGGGATCACAATGAACGTTATCCAATGTTGTGCACCCACCAATGATAGCAACGACGATGATAAAGATCCGTTCTATGAAAGGCTGCAATCAATTATAGAGAAGTGCTCACGAATGGACCTCACCATCCTTATGGGAGATCTAAATGCTAAAGTTGGAGTGGACAACACAGGATATGAAGATATAATTGGACGACATGGACTAGGAGAGTGAAATGAAAATGGGGAGAGACTTGCAAACCTATGTGCTTTCAACAAATTGGTTATAGGCGGCACAATATTCCCACACAAGTGCATACACAAAGCTATATGGATCTCACCGGACCACACCACAGAGAACCAGATAGATCACATCTCTATCAACAATAAGTTCCGAAGATCAATGGAAGATGTGAGAATCCGGAGAGGAGCTGACATAGATTCAGATCACTATCTGCCTGGTTGTGGCCAAGATGAGACTGAAGCTAAAGAAAGACTGGACAACTGGACAAACAGCACTACAAAGGTTCAATACAGCCTTCCTTCGAGATACTGACAAGCTCCATGAATTCAAGATAACTCTCAACAACAGGTTCCAGGTTTTACAGGATCTACTGAAAGAACACGAAACTACAAAATACATACATACATACATACACACAATTCATCCAGTCTCCTTTTATTTTACATTGTTGAACTTTTCACTTGATTCTCATTCAACTCACTCATATTATCCTGTTTACAACAAAAATATTCGACTTCCAAATATGATTGAATTAAAAAGTAGTAGAGATTTTGATGAAATGATGGTTAAGGAAAAAACACTATGTATATTCCTTCGATGATTTTGATTTTGATTGCTTCCCTGAAGAAGTCCACACAAGTTAGCTGGACGAAACGTTGGAATTGTTTATAGTTCAATTGCTATGACTATTTCAATTATAACTTTTTTCACATATAATGAATTCTTATTTCTTATGTTTAATTATTGATAAGACTTTTGTTATTGTAATTTACTATTCTTACTACTATCAGTACACTTGCCTTCCCACTATCAACTTGTAATTTTAACTATTATTATGCTTGGTAACGTATTTCTATTTCATTGTGATTATTATTGACTCAAATAGCCTTGTGATTGGTCTAACATTTTCATATAAACATCCATGTATATGTAGAGTAAAGTCTGATGACGAGCTAATTGAAAACAATATTCTTCGCTTACTGATGTTGTTCTAATTATACTGATGACACTGTTCAGAATGAAAATTATAAATTCCTTCACCGTACAGAACATAATGACTTCAATAAGAAATTTGACATAAATTCAAAAAAGATATTATCAATTACAAAACCTACGGAAATGTTTTCTACATTTAAGTTAGAAAATAATTCATATCCGTCCCAGTACGTCCATGATTCGAAGTTCCTATCTGCTGCATTCAGCACAGCATTACATTCAACCGTATTTATTGATTCTGGATTACCATCAGGAAGACACAGACCGAATTCTGTTAAAAACCGTCCGCCACCAGTGGATTGAACTATACTTCTCACATTTTTGAATGTATAATTTAAGAGAAGCTAAACACAAGCAATAACAATATCAACATTGATAAGTATGTGAATGATTTCTGCAATGAAACTAGACTACAATAATCTGCATACACTGTGTCAAAGCAATAACACATCATCCATTTTGTTCATTGACCTATCATTCATTACATTTATGACTTAGTTATGAAAAATTGCAAAAAAACAACAGACGTTCAGTATTCTCCATCTTCAAATGATTATGATTATATTTATGTTCACAAGTACTTACATGATCGAGTGAGGAAAGGCACAAAAATTGAGTGATTTCGAATTCTGTGGTTTGATTACAAAGTAACTGGCTAGGAAAGAAGATGATTCTACAAATCACAAAATCACTCATTTCTTAACAATCCATAAATAAAGATTCACACAACACCGAATCATCAGTTCAGTAAGATGGAAATGAACTAATACCAACAAGTGACATCTTGTCAAGCAATGGCCATTATGTCTAACTGACTAAATATCACATTTACCAGAAATCCTCCATAAGCTTATATGATCCACCATATAAGTTTATTGACAATGTTCTCTCTTTCACAATTGTTGAACCTGAACAATATATATGTAACTGATGTTCATTTGTGAGAACTCATTCAAACATTGTAATTGTTAGTTGATGTGTCACGATAACAGCAAACTGTTATTCGATTATGTGTATCACAAATGATGGAATGCATCACATCATTGAGTCAGAATCCACGTATTCATTGAATCAACTCAAACGACTTACACTAGTGTGAATAATATTTTTTATTGTTGTGTATGATGGAAATAAATAGTGCCTATTACTAGTTGTCACATTTTGAATATCAAACCATAGTGTTTACATTTTCGTTCTTAGATGACTCTGCAGTACTTTCATTGAGTTCAGTTCCGGTGTTGCGTTCACCCTAATCAGTTCATCATTTATTAAGGACACAATAAACATTCATCCATATCAGTTGTAACTATAATCTGTATGTTTAATGAAAAATTCATGGTTTCGTCTAACATCATACATTCTGTATATGCAGACCACAAATTGGAGCTCGAACTAAACAAATTAACTTGTTTGTCAATTTTGTTTGTATCAATGTTTTACAAGTTGATGTGAATGACAGAATGGAAGTGGACTTACCTTGTATCTGTCGATGCAACGATCAGATTAAAATTCCATTTGAATTCATAAACTGGAGATTTTGTCAACAAACAACATATGTACATTTGTATGCAATATACTATGGTGTTTGTGAATAGGTTTCAATAGGTAAATGAGTTTAATGGAAACTACAAAACAAAGGTTTTTACTTTGAAAGTTGACATAAAATATATATTAATCCAATGCCTCTATTTCCACTTCCACCGTTAGTTTGACTGTTTGACTATATCTTAAGAATACTTAGATGACAGAATTCATAATTACCATGGCTTTATAGAATTATTCGTCAGTGTTGCTTATTCATCTACGCCCAATTTCAGACACACTCATTGTTATAACGTTTGCCAGTTACGATGATTCATAGAACATAAATGTTACTAATTTATAGAAGGAATGTAGAAATTTCTCATCTTATTTGACTTGTTTTAATCAATAACAAAATACACTATGGTTCTAACAATTTTGCAAACTTAATCATCATATTGCTTACTGAGAGTATTTCCATGGCGAAAAAATAAATAATTAGCTAAATCGTAATTGACAAACATGAGCAAGTCAATGGGTGTTTTTCAATCAATTCCAAGTAAATCAATTCTAGGTAGTTAAATTTCAAGTTTGATATAAAGTAAGGAAATCAAAAGGCTGCAGCGAAAAATGGTAATCGTCGAATGTCAAACTACTAATCTGAAAAATCACTCGCTAAGACCTACTAAAGCTCTAGGTTTGATTTCTAGTAGTGTTGTAAACACGCACTACTGAATCGCATATAGTTGTCTGGTTAACGTAAGGATATGGTGTCAAATGTAAACAATATTTTATTACGAAAATACTCTGGGTCAGCGGTCCTTCGATCCTTAACTGAATGTAGTTGTTTTGAATATAGATCGAATAATTTAATAAGGGTGACAAAGAATTTCAAAATTTTCCAGACAAGTCTGGTTATCAAGTTACGAACAAAAATCAAGTCAGTCAGCTTATGCTACAAAATATCAGTGGGTGAATGTTGGTATTAAGGCATCAAATATTTAAAATGCACATACACTACAAACAATAAACCAGGTAATGAAACTCTCACCTGATCACACAAATATTGTTTCCATGATGGCATATGCTCTGTAGCTGGTGTCGATTCCAATAGCCAACAGTAGTAATGATAAGATAATACACTCTTCTTTCTGGCCATCTCATCTTGTAATAGACCAGGAACACGTTGCATGCCAGTACCAGGTATTCCATTGACAAATGGAAAATATATTCCATAAGTTACACTCTCGTAAAATATCAATGTATCCTTGTCTGTTTGACGAATAACATTCACCAAGTAATCATAAAACAATAAAAGATTTTGACCTGCAATATCTGTGCGAATAGAAAAAGAAAAAGACCAGAAATGTAAGAACCGAAATAGATTTTCAGAATGAAGACAATTGAAAGTTAACAACAATGATTTCCAATATCGCAGTACATAAGTAAGCCAGTCAATGTTAAGCTGAAATAAACATATCTGTGATGGACAGAATGTTTTCGGAAATAAAGATTGTGGTTTGTGATGAAATTCACGACTCTCGTACCATTCTATTCGGAAATTATAAGATGGTTGTAAGCAGCTGATAATAAACGACGAATTGTATTAAATTCATATTATTCGACCTCAATGGTTGTTGTGTAATTCGTACAAGGAACCAATTGAGTGTCTTATTATGCTTTTGCAAATACTTAGGTTTATGCGTAAAATCTAAAATAAAAACATGAAATGTGTCTGAAAACTATGCTCTTATCAACATGAACTACGGAATGATCTATAAAGCTCAATTCAATGGGTGATGATTCAGATATGAATAGCGCAACCTTTGAAGATTAACAGAATGGTTCATCATTAAAATATAATGAACTATGTAAATGATCCACATTGTTATTATTACAATCAATTGAATAGTTCATAGTTCTTCTACGTACTAGTTTAAGTAGATTGAATACTGAATCTTGTCTATTAGAGATACCATTGAAAATCATGTTAATCATCAATTCACAAAAGTATACAAACACACACACACACACACCAAAACTACGGTTACTTTTATCAAATTAACCTAACTGCAGTTCAAAGTTTCATTATTGAATATAATTCTAAGAAGATCTTTATATTATTTTCAGTACTGCGGTTTGAATAATCTATCATACGGGGCATAATAAACAAACTATTAAGGCTGTGATATACAACACCATTTCTCTAATTTATCAAGTAATGATGGATGAATATTACCTTTCTTACGATCTCATCTACGTTTTATAAACTCCATGAACCATAACTTTCCATATTTTCATGAAGCGAAAATCATGGATCATTATCAATGCGAAGGTGCATCAAAAACCGAAAACGTTTCAATCAATGTCATCTTACTCTATAATGATCAAATCAAAAGTGTCTAATCATAGGAGGATAGTTATATACTTGACAGTCAGTTAATTATTTAGTTAGTTCACTGAATTAACCTACTTCAACACGTTTAACGAAATGACCAACTAACAAATTGTATTCAGTCCTTTATACCTGCTCTCACTGCAATTCGGAAATGTTAGTAGTAATTAATATTTGAAATAAAGAGTACATTTAGATGTGTTCATTCTTAAAATTTTACTTACCAATCAGTCGAGAAAGTCGAATTCTTGAGGACTTGTGTTTAACATTTTTCGACAATGAAGGATTTATTATGATAAGTGTCTAGTTATTTCGTGTAGAATATGCTAATACTATCATGAATTTATAAAATCTTATAAAATAAAAATTATTCCGAATAACCGCGATCGTTGTCGATATAAACTAATCATAAATGCAACTTAAGAAAATAGACGTAATAACAAATAATACATTTTGTGGAACTTCGATTGAGTCGTGTGATCTAAGTGTTCAGAGAAAGAGAAGGAGATATCGTGAACTCACATAGATTATTTGATGTTTTATACAATATTTTCATATATTTATATCATTGGTAATGTTAGGAAACGGCATCATATTTTTTTCCTATTTCTAGATACACTTGAGGAAATGTTTGCTGATCTATGAAATAGTTCATGGATGTACAACACAGGTAGCAAAGTTACAAATATATTGAACGGCAGTAATATTTCTGCTCTATCAGAGTATACGAAAATGGTATGATATGATGAATATTTTTAGCTGTTTATTAATTTAAGGTTTTTCTTATTCTTGGAATTGAAATAGCTATTACACTGTTGATTATCATAATCTCATCAATGTTGTAAGTTGTCAATCAACCATAGAAGTAAATATTTTGTAGGGAGACAGTTCATTAAACACCTAATCCATGGACAGTTTTACCTTGGATATTGATGTACGTTTTTAGTTATTGCAATCTTATCATTATTATCATTTGTTGACTTAAAAGTAATAATACAAATTCTAATCAAGTTTTCCGAAAGTTTATTTGTCACATTGAATTATGTACCCATTTGGAACAACATGTCAATCAACACAATTTGCTCATCACATTCATAGACGGATATCGGTGATCAGGAATCCATTATCAAATAATAAGTCGGACATGCATGCTGTCTGAATTATGTTAATGAATAATGATCCCATCACCTTTTATTACAAGTTATAATGAATAACAATCCAACTTTTCTACTCTTTATGGAGCTTGTCTTAATTTTTAAGCTACATGTTATTGTTGAACTAAACGCCTCTTTGAATTAGTGTTATCACCACTGAATCAAAATTGTATTCAGTCAGACCATTAAGATTGAAGTGAATAACTAATTGGAAACACAAGACTCATCAAAATATATTTTCAACATTCATAATTGACAATGATTACATATTACAAATCCTCTTCTAATAACATGAATGAACAATGAATCCTCTGAATAGCTCTATCTCAACTATTCGCTCACATAGTAATATGTGGTTTTGGTGGAGAAGATTTGTAACTTAGGTGGGTGATTTTGATGTAGGTGTATATACACTTACTTTCACACTGAAACATCATTAGGCAATGATGAGAGAAAAAACTGAAGTAAATATTCTTTACAATGTGACTCCCAATATATCGGCAAATGCACATTAATCTAAGAGCCTTGCATTTCTTCATTCATCTATATTTGTCTTGTGAAAATCAATTAAACCATTGATTGCACACTTTATAAACAAGAATATTTGAGAAATAGCATATTTATTTATCTTCATACTTAAGCTTAATCTAGTAAAATTGAATAATGCTTGTTTATCAAAATTCCTCATCCAACAATACAGACTGACGTTACTCCTGGACATACAATTTCATTAAATGTATACACTTACCCACTGTAGTTTGGTGTAAGTTGGAAGCATGTTTAATTTGTAGGTTCGTATCTATCTCACTAAGAAAATATCTAACAAAATTACTTGGCTTGTCAATTGAGATATACCATACAATGATTATATACACACTGCACAATAGATATTGTTCATACTTTGTCACAAGGTGGATGAATTAAGATTATGTATTTCCTAAATATTATTGTTGAAATGTATGTACAGGTGGAAGGAACACACCTCCATGTCCTCATAAGTTGTTAAGATGTGCAACGACTTTTCAATTAGATAACGTTTATTATTTACTTCTATCAGTATCGTAGTAAATCATTATTGTTTTCACGAAAATGTTATCAAAGAACTCAATCTATCCATTATCCAGAAGATACAAGTGTTTATTAACAGTTGTCTAAGCAAGATACTTCAGATCCGATGGCCAGACACTATCAGCAACAAGTGACTGTGAGAGACAACAAACCAGATTCCAGCGGAGGAAGAAATCAGGAGGAAGCGCTGGAAGTGGATCGGGCACACTGAGGAAATCACCCAGTTGTGTCACAAGACAAGCCGTCACATGGAATCCTGAAGGTCAAAGGAGAAGAGGAAGACCAAAGAACACATTACGTCGAGAAATAGAGACAGACATGAGAAGAATGAACAAAAAATGGATAGAACTAGAAAAGAAGGCCCAGGACAGAGTGGGTTGGAGAAAGCTGGTCGGCGGCCTATACTCGTTTGGGAGTAACAGGCGAAAGTAAATAAGTAAGTAACTGATTATAAGGCTGCTTTACTATTCAATTTATTGATAACGTTGAATTTCGGATAAGAATTTGACGACTCTAAGTTTACTGTTTGCCTGTATTTGAATCATTATTTTACGTCTTAGTATTCATTGAATTACTTTCTTATTTTCTGAGTTGTACTCGATTATTTATCAAGATTAATGACTTTTCACAATTCAAACTTACACTAGAAATTTTGTTTTCAATCATCAGTAACGAGTATCAGTCGACATTTTGTAAAAAGTCATTTGCTGACCATATGATACTGCTGAATGAACGATTTACTTGCCTAATCAGACGTTGCATTGATGGATTCTCGTAAACTCATTTCATCAGTCTGTGAACACGATGAAGAGCAAAAGCAAATCAGTTCTAGGTTAACCAACGGTCTACGCGATTGATTCTGATGGGCAACGGAAGAAGCAGAAATGGAAAAGGTAGTGGCTGTAGGCAACACCAGGCAACTCTTCAAACTGGTAAAAGAAACCGAAATTAAGAAGTCAAGTTTAAGGGAGACAATCTCGAAAAAGATGAGAATCTTATCTGCTGTCAGCCCGGTCGTTTATAACGATGAGCGCAACACTTTAAGGAGCAGTTCAGCTGGCCTTCAGCTACTGTACAACTACCCACTATTCCCAGAAAACCTGAATGGAACATTGAAGTAGAGTCCCATACTCCCGTTGAAGTTCAAGAGGCTATAGCTAATCTGATACGAGGAAGATCAGCTGGTCCAGATGGATGGGCTCCAGAGGTCTTCAAATATGGTGGTTAAATTTTAGTTATTGGGTTAACTAATATTTTAGCTAAAATCTGAGATTTGGACGTAATCCCATCTGATTGGTCACAACCACTTATTATTATTATTATTATTATTATTAATGGCTTTATTCGATATTATAATCTGGTACAATATAGAATTCTCAGCACGAGTTATTTCAACAAGTTTTTTACCAAAAAAAAAACCCGCAAAAAACAAACAAAAAAACAGAAATAAAATTTAAAAAAAAAAGGTCTAGGAAAAACCAACTTTATACAAATTATCGAATTTGAGACATGCTTAAGAAGACAGGTTATTTACTAGGTCAACTCTAACAGCCTGTTCGTCACAAAGTAAATTTG